GCAACGAACCAGCCCAGCCAAACGAACATGCCGTTAGTCCTCCATAGGATCTAGTCTTATAAATAGAATAGTGAGATAGAGTGTGAGGGGAGAGTTTGGAGAAGGTGCCGGCCTGTCGGTGCTCTCTCTACGGCTTGTACCCTGGCGAAGTCAAGTTCTACTCGAGCTTGCTTTTGAGGATTCTCTGGTAATCAACTTCTAATTAAAGTAAGCATCGTATTTATATTGCTCATCAGGTTCACAACTCTTTAAGTGCTTTAATCTATAGGACGCTCTAGGTTAAAATAACAATTGTAGGTATAAGCGTGGTGCTTATACCGAGTTACTTATGGATGTACCCTATATTCCGGATCGATGGTAGCTCGCGAGGGTGACTCTTATAGCCTCGTTGAATCCTCTGTAGTCCACCTCCCGTTTATAGGCCTAGCAGGATTTAGTTACTATAGTAAACATACTCTACTTGTGCTTCCCTTAATAATATCCCTAGTTGAACAGTAGAAGACATAGCTTACCCAAGTCAGAACTAGAGAACCTTAGTTATTCTCTCTACGCTCCTATTTATCCTAACCTTGTTGCTACCCCTAGTTAAGTTAGACCATAGTTAGTCTCACCCATATTCCTGTGGATACGATACTTGGAATACCTTCGGGTGAAAGCTACAACGGTATCCGTGCGCTTGCGGATTTATCTGTGTGTGTTAAAATATATCAACACTCGCCTCTCGTCACTAGTGTATCCTCTGCCTCGTGCAGCCTAGTGCCCACCTCACACGTCGCGTCGTGTTGTTGCGCTGCGGTGCCCACCTCCATCCTGATACCTGCGTCGTCGCTGCCCCCTCCGTCGAGCGCCCCGATCGTCGCGGTCGCGGGTATTGGGATGGAGGCCATCACGAGTATCACCATTCCGGGAGAAAGGAGATGAACTTTTTCATTTTAGCCCCTAATTATATTTTTATAATTATATGTGAAGCCACTTCAGAGCTAGAGCTCTACCAAATGGTTTGGTTGGAGCTCGAATACACAGTGAAGTTGTTCCATGGTGGATCTGGTGGTTCAGACCTATTTTTTATCTAGTGCTCTCCCAAACAATCCATAGACTCTACCGTGGAGTAAATAAACTAAAAAAACATGAAGTTTCTAGAGCACCTCTTGAGGTGCTCTATCAACTCCATATTTTTTTTCCTATAGCAGAGTTTATGGAGCTACATGTGTTTGGCAGAAACGTTTTTCTGCCAAAAAAAAGAAAGCGAAGCATTCCCAAACAAACCCCCTCTTTCGTTCTAAAGAGGTCATGCATTGCCATTATTCACCACTTCATTGAAACGGTCGTGTAGCCTATTTAAACACCGTGTATACACTACATTGTGGTAAACTGTTTTTTTTTGTTTAATAGTCTATATATTTGTTCCATTTAATTGGATGTTTAGTCTGTTTAATAGGCCATTTAGCCTGAATAATTGGTAAATGATACTCCCTCGGTCCATCCGTCCCCTTTTAACTATCGTATTTAACTTTATCAAATATATACAAGAGAGTATTAATATTTATGGAACATAATTAGTATGAGTAGATTGATCGTTGAATTTATTTTTATAATAAATTTATTTGGAGATACAAATGTTGCTAATTTTTTTTTGCAAATCTAGTTAAATCCAAGAAAGTTTAACTAGTATGAATATCATAGTCCATAGCGAAAACTTAAAAAGAGAAAGGGAGTAGATAACTGACTCTTCAGTGTATACTGTGCGTATACAAACAATAGGTTGTACTCCCACCATCCAGGAAATAATGTAATTCTCGCTTTTCGAGGAGTCAAACCGTTTGAACTTTGACTAAATTTATATAAAAAACTACTATCATTGGTGATATAAAATAAGTACCGTTAGATTAGTTATAGAATATATTTTCATAATAAATTTTGTTTAGAGACATAAATGCTAATATTATGTACTATAAACTCGGTCAAACTTAAGTTATTTTGACTGACACGAATCTCATAATTGCATTTGATGGAGGGAGTACCATATGCCAAGCATCTTACTCATTTCTTGGCAGATGGCCACATGCAAGCCAGCATTGAAGCATGACAAAAGGCACCCATCTCCATTTCCTTCGTTCCTTGCAGCTGGGAGAAACGCCAGGAGGACGGACACAGCAGGCGTATGATTGTGCTTCTGAAAACAGCAACATGCACTCACCACCGGCACCGCGCAGCCCGCAAGGCCCGCAACAAACACAACAAAACTGGTCAAACCGGCGTGCGCGAGCGGGTCGCTGCTACGGTAGCGGTGCGGCCAACGGCCATGCGCCCATGCCATGCGGGGGTGTTTTTTGAACGTACCGCACGGCGCGGGGAGGACGACACGACAGGCGTGGCCGCGTGGGAATTATGGCCGTAATAACTCGGCACCTACGCGGAGGCCGGAGGCCGGAGGCAAGGCAACCACCGCGCTGCTCTCTCCTCTCCCTCCCTGCCCCTGTGCATGCACAGTGCTCTACCCAGTACCCCCGGCGGCCGCCATACAGGTGCAGGGAGACTAGTGTGGTGAGGATCACGTGGAGCGGGCAGGACGACGACGGGGAGGAGACCCGGTTTGACGCGGCGCGGCCGCGGCCCCCGGGCAACTCTGCTCGGCCGTGGGAATATTTTACTGCTCGGCCGCGGGGGAGGAGCCGTTGCCGTTGGATGTGCGTGGCAGTGGCAGCCGCGGCGTGCGTGTCACCGCGGAGTCATCAGTGCCCTGCCGTTCGTTGGTGCGCTGCCTCGTGCCCCTCCCCACCCACGAGCCACAACGCAGGCCGCACCGCACCACCACGGCTGCTTCAAATCGCGCGTCGCCACGAGGGCGCTCCCGGCAGCTCGCACTCCTTCACACTCGCTCCTCTGCGGCTCAGTCCCCGGCTCCCCGCTAGCTCCCTCCCGTCCGCGTCCCACGAAAAGCGGAGAGAGGCAGAGAGGAGGGAGAAGAAGCAACAAGAACAGCAAACAAACGTACACCGTCCCCTCCTGAGATGGCGGCGCCGGCGCCGAAGCAGGAGGAGCTGCAGCCGCACGCCGTCAGGGACCAGCTGCCCTCCGTCTCCTACTGCCTCACAAGCCCGCCCCCATGGCGTACGCCCTTCCTTCCACTCCCTCCTTCCTTCCCCCCGTTACCTCCCATCTCCTCCTCCGCCCCGTCTGTCCTCGCCGCCACCGCCTGCGCGCGTTGCTTCCTGGATCTCTCTCGAGGGCTCACGACTGACGCCGTCTCCCTTGTTTGCAATGCAGCGGAGGCCGTCCTCCTCGGCTTCCAGCACTACCTCGTCATGCTCGGCACCACCGTCATCATCCCCACCGCGCTCGTCCCCCAGATGGGCGGCGGCAATGTACGTCCACGAGACCCCGACTCTCTCCTCTCTCCTCTCTTCTCTCTTCTATGTATGTATGTCCGCCGCCGCCCGCCGGAGCCTGACACGAAAGCTCGCCGCTTTCTATCTTTTTCTCGCGCAGGAGGAGAAGGCGCGGGTGGTGCAGACGCTGCTGTTCGTCGCCGGGATCAACACGCTGATCCAGAGCTTCCTCGGCACGCGCCTCCCCGCCGTCATGGGGGCATCCTACACCTTCGTCGCGCCCACCATCTCCATCATCCTTGCCGGCCGCTACAGCGGCATTGCCGATCCCCACGAGGTGCACCTCCTCGCCTTCCTGTCCTGCCCGGTTCCAAGTCCAACGGAGGCTGGCTGGCTTACCGATAGCACCGATTAATCTCTTTGCTGCAGAAATTCGTGCGCATCATGCGGGGCACGCAAGGCGCGCTCATTGTGGCCTCCACCCTCCAAATCATCATGGGCTTCAGTGGCCTTTGGCGCATTGTCGTCAGGTTCGTCTCCTGCTCTCGCCCCCTTCGTGTGTTCAGGTCCCAGTGTACCTCCTCTGATCCCATCTGTCTGTGCTAACTCCTGTTGCAGGATGCTGAGCCCGCTGTCTGCTGCTCCCTTGGTCGCCCTCGTCGGATTCGGGCTCTATGAACTGGGGTTTCCAAGTGTATGTCTTTCCACATTTAGTACTACATTTCCCTATATTATACCTGCATGATGTATTTAACAACAGTGAGGTAGTAACATGAATTTATTTTACCCTGCAGGTTGCCAAATGTGTAGAGATTGGTCTTCCGCAGATTTTACTGCTGGTGGCACTTTCTCAGGTAGGATGCAACAGGAATTCTGGACTGCTGCTGTGTGGTTTCAATTGTAACGGTTGCTGGATTCTTGAGAACAATGTGTAATTTCTGTTTCTCTTTTGCAGTACATACCACATCTGGTCCCCTTGCTGAGTACTGCCTTTGAGAGGTTTGCTGTCATAATGTCCATTGCCCTCATCTGGCTTTACGCCTTCTTCCTGACGGTTGGCGGTGCCTATAAGAATGCTGCTCCGAAAACCCAATTCCACTGCCGCACTGATCGATCTGGGCTTGTTGGGGGTGCTCCATGGTAATATAATGCATCCTCTTGCATGTTCTTCCTTCCCTACCTAAGAGCTTTGTATGTTTTGCATACTTATTCAGAATGTAACATCCTGCAAAGAGCCTACTTGGCTACTAGATTGATAGATTATTGATCTACAATTTGCAGGATAAGTGTACCTTATCCATTTCAGTGGGGAGCACCAACCTTTGATGCTGGTGAAGCTTTTGCTATGATGGCAGCTTCTTTTGTTGCTCTTGTGGAGGTATGTTATTTGGATAAACCCATGATATGTTTGCAGCTTTGTTATCCTAGATGGGACTGCATATCATCTTCAAGCTAATACTCCTTACTGCATGATGCAGTCCACTGGTGCATTTATTGCCGTTTCACGGTATGCCAGTGCAACACCATGCCCTCCTTCCGTCATGAGTCGTGGCATTGGGTGGCAGGTAACGTCCAAATTCCTTTGTTTGCAGTTAGTTTATCCGAAAATTTTGAATGACATCTGAGCATCTAACTGCCATATCCAACTAATTTGTCTATGTGCCATTCCAGGGAGTTGGCATTTTGCTGAGTGGCTTATTTGGAACAGCTAATGGAACCTCTGTATCTGTGTAAGTAGATACTAGACGACTGCTGCAAGTACTTTTTATAGTGTGATCATGTGATCTGAATACTATTCAACATTTGTCTGATTTTGAATATTGTTATGGAACAGCGAAAATGCTGGGCTGCTTGGTTTGACACGCGTTGGTAGTAGACGTGTTGTACAAATTTCTGCTGGATTTATGATATTCTTCTCGATCCTTGGTAAGGCTCATGCTTTTACGTGACCATGTATTCAACAACTTTTGGCTGTAATACTTTGTGTTAAGTAGTTAAGGTTAACTTTAAGGCTGGATTGTTTAGGCTTGTTATCTGGACACAATTGAACAATTCATACTATGCTCCTGCACTTCTAATGATAATCAACTGTCTATAATGGTAATGTTTTTTGTGATGCCGTTATAGGGAAATTTGGAGCTGTTTTTGCATCAATTCCTGGCCCCATTATCGCAGCTATATATTGTCTTCTCTTCGCATATGTTGGTATGTAGCACGAAGCAAATTTTAAACTTTGCATCTTTATTTTTTATATAGAATCGTTGAATTATGAAAACGCTATGTGTTCTCCTGTACAAACAGGTATGGCAGGTGTTGGGTTCCTACAGTTTTGCAACCTGAATAGCTTCCGAACAAAATTCATTCTAGGATTCTCTTTGTTCATGGGTTTGTCGGTGCCACAGTATTTCAATGAATACACTTCCGTCGCGGGCTTTGGCCCAGTACACACGCATGCAAGATGGGTAAGATCCAGTTTAAAACACATTTCTGTCTTTATTATACAATAAAAGCAACATGCTGACACAGATAATTCCATGCTTCTGGTTATGCCAAATGTGCATTTGATATTATTGCATCATGGTTTACAATTTATAGACATCATGGTTCTGTGACATTGTTTTCTGATGTTATGTGCTTCTGAAATCACCTTCTAGTTAGTTTTACTGCTCATTTGGCATGCTGAAGAGCTACAAACTAAGAGATGTTTTTCCTTGTGCTTATGTCCACAGTTCAATGATATGATCAACGTGGTATTCTCCTCGAAGGCGTTTGTTGGTGGGGCGGTGGCGTATTTTCTGGACAACACCCTGCACAGGCGAGACGGCACCGTGAGGAAGGACCGGGGGCACCATTTCTGGGACAGGTTCAGGTCCTTCAAGACTGACCCGCGCAGCGAGGAGTTCTACTCCCTCCCATTCAACCTCAACAAGTTCTTCCCGTCCTTCTGATCCTGCTGCTGGTAACTGAAAACGGAAAATGTTGTTAGGTGGTTGTGATTTTGGCAATGCCACGCCCAAGCGTCTGTTTCTCTACTTCTGTTGTACCCCTTGAGTTCTGAATCTTGTAGAGCTCAACGTAAACTATTCGGAAGGAGTGGAGAAATTGCCTGGTATTTTTGGAAATTGGGTTGGGTTCTCGGATAAATCGATAAAATGAAAAGAGAACTGCTCCAATACTCCTTTCTGTAGATTAAACTCCAGTGCTATTTCAGAGTAAGCTAATGCTAGTCCATGTGCAATCGTTGCAGATTTGCAGTGAGATACTGATACTGAGCATTTGCTATTAATTTCCAGAATCAGAAGAGATCGAGTGTGTCTGGTAAAGGACGATGGACTGCCAGCTCACAGTTCTTTAGGCCGGCTCTGTCACATCATAATTTCTATATAACTGGTGTCTTGTCCTGCATTATGCTACGGGTTAGCAGTCGCAAATTGCACATCTTATTGTATCAATTTGTACTAGGCATGTACAAATTGATTTTGCACCTCCATTCATAATGATGTAGGTAAAAAAAAAAACTGTGTGCGTAGTACAAAATTTAACTCAAAAGTTACCTCGACGACTACTGGATCCAACTTCTGTTATGATATTTTCTACATGCGGCTGACTTGCAACAAATCTATTAAACACATAATAGCTATCCATGCAACAAATCTAGTGGTGGTGAAGGGATGGGTATAAATCTATTAAACAAAATTCAAAATTTTTATAATTTTTTCGGCACATACATTAAACATCATTGCAAATCTTTCATAACATAATTTGCGCAATGGATTTTACGGCTGATGGATAACACTCTTTTTCACTTTTAATTCTACTGTCAATGGATACTAAACACATTAGTGTAATTCCACTTCCGGTTCCTACAACCTCTGTAGTATCAACACTTGTCTTCCTGAATGGAAGTGGTTCTTCAATATTAGGATGACGATGAATAGCAATAAGCAGCATTGTGCAAGTCAAGTGACATCAATGATCAAACAGGCCACAGCTGAACGGCAAAAGGAGAGTGGTCTCCACCAAGCAGGCCGATAGCCCTCTGTCTCGGCCTTCTTGGCCCATCTGATAATCGCTTTCAAGGTCCACAAGTTGGTGGACCTTGGAGTCACCGGCCCAACCCTCTAAGTCTCAGATCGCACGCCCCCGGCAGTCCTCGCCTAGGTTTAGGCTTCCGGCCGCCGCACCGCCTTCTTCACGCCACGAGCGAAAGGAGATCACCGGAAGAGGGGCGCGGAGATGAGCGGGAGCGCGTTCAATGCGTTCAAGTCGCGTGTGCCGGTGGCGTGGAGTCCCCGGCTGTACATCACGCTGGTGCGGGGCCTCCCGGGGACGCGGCGCCTGCACCGCCGCACGCTCGAGGCCATGCGCCTCCGCCGCTGCCACCGCACCGTCGAGCACCGCACCACGCCGTCGCTCCTCGGGATGCTCACCCAGGTGAAGCGCCTCGTCGCTGTCGAGACCGAGGAGATGTACAACGTGCGGAAGCAGGCCGAGGCGGAGAGGCGCGCGCTCAGACCCCCGCTCGTCGTCTCCCACCGCCCGCCGCCGCCGACTCCGAAGCCGGCAGCAGCAGCCGCGGAGGGTGCCGCTGCCAATGCGCAGTAGCCTCTGGTAAGCTCCTCGAGTCCCGATCGTCCTGGTGTGGTCTGGTTTTCCATTTTGCCTGTTTGCCCTTCAAGCGTTTGATGCAATGCCTCAATTCAGTGCGCCCTGAGGGGCTGTCAATATAAAATTCAGATGCTTATTTCTGATCCAACATTCTTACACAATGAAATGGCTTTGTTTTGCTTATAATGAAGAAGCGAGTGAAGAGTTTGCGGTTATTGCATTTCTGTGTTGAGTGCTTTATACCAGACATAGGTCCAGTGTTTTCTGCTACTTCTTTACCTGGTAGATCATTATAACTCGTTACTTAGTTCTCCATGTAACGAAATGGAGGGCGCAGCTCTAACCACATTACGGTGGATAGCTCTTAAAAGTGTTTGAAAATCAGAGTATTCAGTTAGTTTACTAGTTTAAACAGAAGTAAAAGTGGGATTAAATGAGCAGTGCAAACCTATCTCGTTATTAATGGTTAATAACACTGATTATGTTTTTATTTTTCACTTAGCAGGAACAATTAAAAATGACCAAGATCTTTCTAGGTGTTTGTGGTTAACACTGACAAAATAGCATCTAGAGGAAAAGGCGTCATTGTGATTAAAATTAAGTTAAAAAACTATACAATTAGCCTGACCTATCAATTCTTGTTAACCCTGAACAGCTAACTGGCTGTTTCGACTACCACATAAATACAAATTGATGTCAAGTTCTTAGCTGAAGAAATAAGATAACAGTACAAAACACATTAATCATTAGTGACAAGCATGGTTATGAAGGCATAAGGCAAGGTGGGGTGACCCGCCCCCTTCCAGACACCTAGGCCTGCGGTGACGCAACACCACACATGCATTCCAACCTACAGTGGAGCAGCAATGCAGCATAAACATACCTTGTTGCTGTAGCTGACACAGAGACATATATCACAATCTGTAAACTCTAATCAATGCAAAGATGAATAAACTAACTAAAGGCAGTAAAGCACAGCCACACATTTGCACATAGCAGTGAAACACTATGGATCTATGGATATACAGCAGCAGACTTGCAGAGCACAAAACACAAGTGCTGGGCACCTAGCACTAGTAGTCTAGTACAAGCAGGCAGAGCAGTTCACAACTTCGCATCCAGGCACAAGCAGGTGCATCACAGCTGAGCAGGCACAAGCTGGAGGAGCAATGCACGTCCAAGCAACAACCATAAGAGGAGGGAGGCGGGTGGGGGAGAGAGAGAGATACCTGTGTGCCATGGCCCGTGAGCTTGTGACAACAGGCTGATAGGGATGGGAATTGGCAGAGCAGAGGAAGGATGCGTGAATCTGAGGTGCAAACTGGTCGAGAAGAGAAACGAGGCATGAACCGAAGGTGTCAGTTGGTGAAGAGGATGACAGGATGGAGGCACGAATTAAAGGCACAAATCGGTAGAGAAGAGGGAGGAATGAGTCAAAGGAGGGCCAAGGGAGGCATGAATTGATGGACCAAAAGGAGCCATAGCAGCTGGATTCCGGCTAGGTGTGCTCCCTTCCCCCTGCTATGTCTATTGGCATGCAGGACATAGGGGAAAAGGACTACGGGGGTTGCAGTCGTGCAATTTCCCGCCAGCGCAACTCCAGTTGATCTCCCCAGCGCGCGAAACTCCCATGCCCCACTGCATTGTTCCCTTTCAATTCATGTGTGGTGTCCGCCTCAGGTTGCTGGGTGCAAAAAGCCAAAAGCGTCGCCACATTGTGCCTAGGCGAGGACTTTTGCTGTAAGACAGAATGACAGATGCCATATGATGAGTGGTTGTGGTGAGGCCGACGCCCAGACTGAAATCATGACTGAACGCCTAGGCGCCGACTTAAAATCCATGGTGATAGGTTGCATTGTGGGTTGAACTGGCCCTTCTGAAGCAGGAACAGTGCATGGAAACAAACATAAAGTATTTATATCCTATTTTGCTTCAAAAGTTCTTTGTTGGATGAGCTATGCTGCACATGGTCACATATCACGCTGGGTTTCTTATGGTAGAAAATGGATGAGGGTGATCAACCTTGATGCTATGCCATATGACCTTAATGTACCCAGGGTAGACCAATTAATCTAGTCCTGAAATTCTCTTGGTTGTGCGTGTGATTTGCTATATCCAAGAAGCAAATATTCTATTCAGATAAAAAATTATATAATGTAGATGTATCAATTATTATTTCTAATTGTTTCTATACTAGCCAAAACTTGGCACCCTGCCTTGGGAGTACTCAATCCAGCCCCAGGTCCTCAGATTTGAATGCCTAAGAGCGCTGCCTGACCTCAACAATTTCCCAGGTCCTCGGATTTGAATCATGCTTTGAACTTTTAATCGATATGAGGAAAATTCCTACAGTGTTTTAACATGTTCCATTAACACAGACATAGAATAATTTACCATTTCTATGCCATTGCCCATTGCTTTTCAAAATTGAACACCTGAACTGAACGCCATCACTGTCAGCTTAGGTGTCAAGTTAAGTGACACATGAAAAGACAACAGCTTTTTCGCGCGATGGTAAAATGATGGGGATTGCATAGAGGGCATCATTCTTGTAACTAATTATGTATAGGGTAGCATGAGTTATTTTGTGATCTGGTTATGTTATTCGGCACCTAATATTTGAGGGGATCAGTTTGACTGATGGTATAATGGGAACCCTGAGTTATTGTTACTCAGTCCCTAATATTTTTCAAGTGGTTGTCTTGTAGGGCATCAGAAGCCTTTCATCAGAGTTCAGCAGCATAATAATTAACTTGCCTGTGTTTGGGTCTGCTGGCCTCCAGAGGATCGCATTGGATCTTCTTGCTCAACAAGATCTAGCAACCGATATGATCTCAAGATCATTGTATGCTCTGACTTGCATTGGTCCTGTATTTTATATTGTTATATGGACTGAGGGAATGGTTTTCTAATGCTTTTGTCTAAAATCAAGTTCAGTGGTTCAGTGATTTGGTTTCATTACTAATAAATTTTCAGAAAATGTTCTTTAAGATGTGCAGGCTTCTTGTGTAATTGAACCAGAGGGTGCTAGCGTCTAAATTTGCTCAGTTATGGTTGTTGGCCAATGGCCATTAGCAAAAGGTTTTATAACATTGCTTGGGTTCTTGGAGTGAAAACATATTGATTGTAGTCTTGACGGAGTCGGTGCCCTGATTTGCGCCCACGGAACAAAGGAAATCAGGATCTCGGAAATAATTAAGATAAAAATTATTTGGTTGGGCTGCTTCAAGAATCAAGATCCATGCAATATTTAGAAAGAGGAACAAATCAAAGATCCATGCAATATTTAGGCCCCCTTTGGAACGCAGGAATTCCATAGAAATTTCACAGGGTTCAGTTCATTTTTCGCAGGAAAAACGCAGGAACAGGAAAAAAATCCCATGTTCCAAAGGGGGCCTTAGGAAGAGGAATGAATCAAGATCCATGCGATATTTAGAAAGAGGAGTGTTGGAGCACTTCTCGTCTTTCTGATAGATTATGAACCTCCTGCATAGGCAAATTTATCTTTCTTCAGTGGACTCGGCTAGTTTACATTCTGAATATACGAGGATGGTATGAACTCTTTATGCTGAATGTATTGCAGGCTATGGAGGCGCTGCCAATGCAGAAATACAATTTGCAGTTTTTAAGATGATTTCTCAAGGTTATTCATGTCGGGCTTCAGGGCAATCTCCAAAAATAGTGCAATTTTAGAACAGAAACATGTTAATATGTTAAGTTTGACTAAATTTATATAAAAAATACTAATATTATTGTACTAAAGAAGCACAATTAGATTTACCATGAATCATATTATATTTATTTGATGTTTTCAATATAATATTTTAATTTTTATATTTTGCCAAACTTTAGAGTCTTTAACATCTAGAATTTTTTTTTTTTACGAAGATAGTAGGTAGAACTTCCAGCACAGATTGTACGTTGGTGCGTCTAGAAGAGGCACAAGAAGGGGCGCGGTCAGACTCAGACCCTCAAACAACGGCTCAAATCTACCCCAAACTGTTGAAGAGGTAGTTCAACTAGAAAGCTGGACCATTTCAGAGTTCAAAGTACTTATTTTCAAAGGATTGTGACTGGCACATGATTTTGAGTCGCATGCATGACCTCGTCAACTACCATTCTACCAACCACTAACATAAAAAAAAACAAGTACAGGTACAATGGTACAAACCGCTCGTAACATGCAAACATGTGAGAATTCATTTATTTATTTGTCTATCATTTTCTCTTTTTACAGATTGCGAAACCATTCTCAGTCGACAGAAAACGTGACGATGTTTTACGCGTGAACGTCTTTCCTAATCATTTTATTTTACTTCACTAGACGCGTCAAAGACACTAAACCCGAGAAATTCGATACACTCAAAACTCCAAATTAAACTGAAATCAAAATCCTCTTATCGTTTATTCCTCTCTCGGTCCTAAAAAGATGCAACTTTTGCTTGAAAGAAGTCAAGTAATTTTAAATTTAACTAAATCTATATAAAAATAATGAAATTCATGATATTATATAAGTACTATTTAATTAATTATGGAATATAATATTTTAATAGTAAATCTAAGGTCCTGTATCCGTGGAGCTAATAGTTAGCTTCTTCAATCAGAATAAGTCCAGCTAATAGTCTAGTTAATTGTTAGCTAAATACCTAGCTAACAACTATCTCATTATATCAGTTGGGCCAAACCAGCTAACAGCTAGTAGTTAATTAGTATTAGCTAGCTACTCCGAACGTATTAGCTAGTTAACCCAATAGATCCAAACAAGATTTTAATGAAGACATAAATATTGTTATTTTTTAATTAGATTTAATCAAATTTTAAAAAGAGTTTGATCAGTCTCACATCGAGAATTGTTTTTTTATCGGGTACAAGTTGGACGCACAAAACTCACACACTCCACCTTCACACCACACCACACGCACACACACGCGTGCGCATTCGTACACACATAAAGAAGAGATTGGGAGACACGTCGTCTCCGGTGCGCGGGAGAGATTGGGAGGCACGTCGCCTCCAATGCATGGAAAATGCGCAGTACCACCGAACGCGGACGCGTGCGTGTACCTTAAAATTTTTGAAAAAAATTCAGAAAAATATGCGATCATGAGGGTTTGAATCCTGGTGTAGCGTTCGACAGCCCTACCACAGAGCGACGAAGTGTTTGAACTCTTTTTTTTTTGTTTTTGGTCAGATGACAAAAAAAACTGCCCTCGATTATTTTTACTTTTAGCCCCCCAATGATTGAGAAATTATGAATTACCTATTCCCTTCCACTTGCCCACCCGGCCACCCCCTGCCGCGCTGTTTACGCCCACGTCTGACGCCTCCGCCCGTTTCCATTCCATTCTCTCCCATCGCATCCTCCTCTCTCTGTCTCTCGTCATCGTCGCCACCTCCACCTCCATCGGCCTCCGATCCCGCCACGAGCCTCCGATCTAATCCGAGGTACGCAACGCGCGATTCGCCGCGGTTCTCCTCCCCCATTCCGCGACCCGATCGATCCGCGCGGCGGCGCGTCGTCGCCACGGATTCTTATTGTGTGGATCTCGGTGGCGTGCGTGCTGCAGGATCCGCGGCGGCGGGCAGTGGTCGGCCGGCGATGGCGCACCGGATGGACAACGAGTACGACTACCTCTTCAAGATCGTGCTCATCGGCGACTCCGGCGTCGGCAAGTCCAACATCCTCTCCCGATTCACCCGCAACGAGTTCTGCCTCGAGTCCAAGTCCACCATCGGCGTCGAGTTCGCCACCCGCACCCTCCAGGTAAACCCACTCCCTCTCCCCTTCCCTCGAATCTCTCTCTAGATGCGGGAGTCGAGAGATTTATTGCATTTGGTGGGTTCCTGCTACTTCCGGAAGCGTTTTGATCAGGGGCGATTGTTTGTTTCGGCATGGACCCATGGGCAAAAATTCGGATAGCTAAATCATTGTGCTTTGGTGGGTCTGCTGGAATGATCTGAAGGACGTTGTCTGCTCTGCACAGCATCAGCATATATAGATCTGTGGATGTTCCTGTGTTGCTACGAGTGATTTTTGTTGATAGGTGGAAATTGAAATTGGTATGGAACTATGGATCATATATTTATATTTATACATGCAGAGAAGAAAACAACGAATTATTGTTGGTGGTACAGTTTTTTGCGTCCTCGGCTAGTAAACTAGTACAACAACACTTTAGTCAATATAGTGTTAAGAGCATCTCCAAGAGTTTGCTATCTCAACCTGGCATCCATATAATTTTGGCAAAACAAGAAAAAATAGCCTCCAACAGTTTGGCAAAACAACTTGGCATCAATAGCAACTTGGCAAATCTTCCCTCCGCGCGCGCAAATATACGCGCGCGTATACGGTTTGGCGTCCGGGGCTCTTCGTTTCTTAGCGGGGCTCTTCGTTCGCTTAGCGGGGCTCTTCGTTCGCTTAGCGGGCCTCTTCGTTTTGTTAACGGGTTTTTTTATTTTACCAAGTCAAAAATGCCAAACTCTTGGAGATGGATTGTTTTTTTACTTGGCATATAATTTTGGGAGTTGGCAAATCACAAGATTTGCCAAGTAAAATTTGACAAACTCTTGGAGATGCTCTAATCAATGATTGCGAGTTAACAGTGCAACGGTACCATTAACAAACACCAAAAAGAACAAAAAACAGTCAGATGGTTATATTGAGTTGCATGCATGTTGCTGATATGTATCCTTCATTTTGGAGGTTTCTCAGCTTGTCAGTTTAAACTCCATCCGTTGGCGCATACTTTGCTGCTGGGCATGTCTGTTTTGTCTGTCACTTAAATATCTGTACTTAATTGGTTGTTTTGTCTCATTATTATCCAATAACAAGCTCGAGCATACACTTGTGCTGATTGTCTTCTACTGTTTTAAGCTATAATAACGCTACAAAATTGGTTTAAATTCCTGTATTCAACTTTACCAACATGGTTTTAATCCTAATTGTAAAAAATGTTTTTATACTACTGTTTTAGTTGTAGTTCTGCCATATATTGTTTTCGAGTTCACTGATACATTGTCTGGTGTATTTACAAAGCATACACAAGCATTGTGTTTGTCATCTGTGATTACAAATCAAACATGAAAGATAAAACTATCACCTTTACCAGGGGTCACAAATGGTTTGTTCAACCTGGTACGAAAATGAGCAACTTGCTGAGAGCATGTAAGTGTGTGGATCTAGGCCAGGAATATTTCAATTTTCAGAGCTAGGAATTGTGTGGCATAATGGATATCATGAGTTCATGATTGTGTTGTTACCATTAGCGTAATTGTCCTGTTACTTCATGTCCTTTCATTAATTAAATACATATATGAAAGTTTGAGAGTTGTTTGAAGGGCATGCCTGGTGCAGTGGTGAGAGCTGTCTCACTGAGTCACCAGGGTCACGGGTTCGAAGCAGCCTCTCTGCAGATTTTGCGGGGGGAAGGCTTGCCTCGGTTTTTCCCTACCCCAGACCCCACTCATGTGGGAGCCTCCCCCCCCCTAAAGTTTGAAAGTTGTTTGGTTGTATTGTCATATTATTCTTTTTTCCCTTTGTACTGATTTACTGTTATTTTTTTTATTTTTTCTGTTTCTATATGTATAGGTATTTTCTTTCTGCCGATTTAATTAAGTTGTTTCTGGGATGTTTTCTGATGAAGTTTGGAACTGCATTACAGATTGAAGGGAAAACCATCAAAGCTCAGATATGGGATACTGCTGGGCAGGAGAGGTACCGTGCAATCACAAGTGCTTACTACAGAGGAGCTGTGGGTGCACTGTTAGTCTATGACATCACGAAGAAGCAGACATTTGAAAACATACAGAGGTGGCTTCGTGAACTCCGTGACCATGCAGACTCCAACATTGTGATTATGATGGTTGGTAACAAGTCTGACCTTAACCACCTGAGGTCGGTTGCAGAGGAAGATGGCCAGGCGTTAGCAGAGAAGGAAGGCCTATCCTTCCTCGAGACATCTGCGCTTGAAGCTCTTAATGTTGAGAAGGCGTTTCAGACCGTACTCTCTGATATTCATCAAATCATAAGCAAGAAGGCACTTGCAGCCCAAGAGGCAGCAGGCAGCGGGCCTCCAAGTCAAGGAACCACCATCAACATTGCAGATTCATCTGCCAACACGAAGAGAGGGTGCTGCTCTTCCTAGGTGCAAACAAAGACATGCTGCTGCTGCTGCAGCTGCAAAAAGGAAAATCTCATGGATCGTACAACACTTTAGGTGTTATGTAGGTGACTCCTTTTGGCCTGTAACTCTCTGATGGGTTGTAATCACAATTCATACTTCTGCAAAGAAATACTCCTCAGGTAGATATGATGTGTAGTTTCGAAATTTTGGTAGAGACCAATGTTTGGCAGACCTGCGTGGAGTCCAGCTTCGTGTTTTGTTTCAATGTTCTATCTTAATATTCTTCTGCTGAAAAACCAAAATCAGATGTTTCTTGTATTTCTACTTGAGTTCGTTGTACTATCAGATATACTTTGATTTCTGTGCTAGAACATCCATCCGTACTTGCCATTCCGTTCTTACGAACTGATATGTTGTCCTTCATGGTTTTGGCCCTTGTGATGGTTCATCTTGTTTGCTTCCTGTTCGGCTGATTGGAAATTGTTGTGAGAAAAATACTGTTATTTCGCTGAAACGGTACGGCTCATAAGTTCAAGCGAACAGTGCTAATTGCAACGGCCCCTCTCTTCTCACGTGAACCATACTCAAGTTTTTTCACATAACGCGTCATGATTGGATGATTTGAGCATGTAGTTCCTTGTTGCTCCATTCTGACAGAATCAGTTCTTCGCTATCAGCTTTACTGCTTTAGCCTAATCATCTTTCCAGTTGCACTGCAAAGCTGCGTTGTGAGTAATGAGTGACCATGCATAAAATGTGCTAATTACTTCAACCTCATTTCAAACTGTTGATGTGTTCATCTCTGGCTTTATATCCTTATGTACCACTCTCATGATCTAATCTCATCCATTTCGCGACAATTTATGCTTTATGTAAGGGACCGTGATGCCTAAGAGGGGGGTGAATTAGGCAACTTAAAACTCTAACTCTAAATTATGGCATCTTTTTTCTATTCTTAACAAAAAATCTATGCAAAAGATAAAATATCTAAATGTGCAACTGCGGTTTTGCTAGTGTGTTGCTATCTCTACCGTAAAAAGAAGTTATGCAACCTAGGTTCCAAACCTATCAACTAGCTTATCACTAAGCTAGGAAAGTAAAACACAAACCAAGATTGCAATGTAAATGCGGAAGCTAAAGAGTAAGTTAGAGATATGCAAACCCCGTCGACGACTCCGGTATTTTTACCGAGGTATCGAGAAGCGCGCAAGCTTCTCCCTAGTCCTCGTTGGAGCCCCTCGCAAGAAATCCCTTGCAAGGGCCAAGCTCCCGGTCAGGTAACTCCGTGGATAGCCCCAGGCCTTTCCCACGCGTAAGTGGGTCTTCGATGTGCCTTCCGGCAAGCCTCTCCGGACCGCTCCCCGCCGTCTTCACTATCAAGCTTCCGGCCGAACCGTCGCAGGCCTTGTTCCCTTCGGTACACGGTGGCGGCCACACCACAAACACGGTTGGTGTGATCTCGCAAGACTACAAGCCCCTCCGATGTACAACAATGGTGCGTGCAAGCACTGAGTGGTAAGAGGTGTGCAAACCTCACTAAACACTAGGCCTAAACCTAGAGCAAGCGCATAAGCGGTGGTCTAATCAATCTAATTACTTCGCAAAGCACCTACGCTAATCACCTAATGAATCATTAAGCACTATGCAAGTGGAGATCACTAAAATGGTGTATCAACATCCTTGGTATGTTTTCTCAACTCTCCACATCGCAAATGGTCGGTTGGGGAATCTATTTATAAGCACATAGAGAAAGTAGCCATTGGGGGCGAAACCCGGCTTTCTGCTACTAACCGAACGCTGTTGTCGTCCTTGAAAGCATCTAGGCCCCTAGTTGGGTTTCGGTGATTAATGACAATACAAGATTACTATGACTAACGTGTGTTTTGCAGAGGCAATTAAGTTAGGTCATGGTAATGGAGATCGATGGGACAATCGAGGTGGTCATGCTCCTACGATGAAAATTGTTTCGGTTTTCAAAGGATGGACGACAAGGTCAAGGATGACTAGTTCTAAGTGTCGATTGGAGTTGGAGTGACACTTAGAGTAGTTTAGGACTTTGTTTCTCCTTTGGCCGTACTATTAAGAGGGGTATGGACGGGTAGCTTGACCTAGATGAGTCTAGTGAGTTAGGTGTGGTGCACACTTGTTAAAACTAGCACTAGGTAGCTCCACAACAGCCCTATGATCCAATGGAGCAAACTTCATTCACACTTGATTGAGAGTTGAAGGTGAATGGATGGTCAAATACTGACCGGACGCTGGCTCCGGTGCGACCGGACGCTGGACGAAGGGTCCGGTCAGTTCATTTGATCAAGAGACTGCGTTCGGTGCGACCGGACGCTGGAGTGGTCAAATGACCGGACGCTGAAAGACAGCGTCCGGTCAACTCCAGTAAGGTTCCAGAAAAGGGAATCTGCGACCGGACGCGTCCGGTATGTACTGACCGAACCCTGGGGGTTCAGCGTCCGGTCGAGTACAGTAAGGTTCCAGTAAGGGTTTAATGTGACCGGACGCGTCCGGTCAGTGCTGACCGGACCCTTCCAGTGTCCGGTCAACTCTTTTTCACTGGTTCGCGGGTTGAACTGACCGGAGCGTCCGGTCACCCCGCAGAGGCTCATAACGGTTCGTTTTTCAGGCTGCCTTATAAATAGAACCTCCACTCGTGTGTGGAGGTACTTTTGCTCATTCCAACAGCTGAGAAACACGTTTGTGAGTGCCAAGAAGAGCAAGGTCCTAGTGAGGTGATTGAGATTTGAGAATCCAAGAGAGTAGCCTCATTAGCGAATCAAGAGTAGACAAATGTGCATCCATCTTCTCATTAGGCTTCGCGTGGTCAAGTAAGAGTTCGTGCTTGTTACTCTTGGTGATCGCCATCACCTAGACGGCTTGATGGTGATTGGGAGCTTGGTAATCACCCGGCGAAGCTTGTGGGTGACCCAACTCAAATTGTGAGCGGCTTTGGGTGATTCGCCGCGACAGAGTGTCAAAGAATCAATCCGTAGAGAGCACTTGATCTTTGCGCGGATCAAGGGGGAGCTACACCCTTACGCGGGTGCTCGAACGAGGACTAGTGGGGAGTGGCGACTCTCCGATACCTCGGCAAAACATCGGCGCGTTTCTTCTCCCTCTTTACTTCTAGCATTTACTTTAAGTATTTACTTTAAGCAATTCAATACTTGTCTTTACATTCTTAGAATTGTTATGCTAGAGTAAGTTTGGAACATAGGTTGCAAGTCTTTTGTGCGTTAGTTTGATAGAAACACTTTTCTAGGCACAAGCGATTAATTGGGCTATCCGTAGGATTTGATTATTGCAAGAAAATTTAGAATTAGCCTAATTCACCCCCCTCTTGGGCATCTTGATCCTTTCAGTCCTGACTGGACGCGTCCGGTCGTCCCGACCGTTGAGCGCGCGCGTAGAGATCGGACACACTGCCGAATCCGGTCATCATCGACCGGACGCGTCCGGTCACATTTGCGCCGCTCTAGAACCTCTCTGGACATGATCGGACGCTGCACTTTGTGCGTCCGGTCATCCAGTGCCGCTGAATCCGGTCCTCACTGAGTTGTTGCCGCGACGATGAACAATGAAGTACGTGCGTCAAAGTCACTGTCTCGCTCAGCATCCGGTCGCTGCTGCTGACGCCTGCTGTTGCCGGGCAACTGATTGAACGCGTCCGGTCCTCATAGGGCCGCGTCCGGTCACCTCTGTCGAGCTCGTTTCTTTACGATCTTGCGTCCGGCTTGGTTCTTATCGTCGTGCTTGAACTTTGCTTGATATCTTGGGTCTTCTCTTGTGCTTCTAGGTCTTGCTTATGATGTTGATCGTGGGATCATTATGTCGCCTTCGTTCAAGTCATGTCTTGCACTCTATTGAACTAAAAAAACAATTACTTGCAAATCCATTAGTCCAATTTTATTGTGCTGGTCATCAAACACTAAAATCCAAAGTAAATGGGCCTAGAGTCCATTCTCCTTACACTTTGCAAGGAGATTTTTTTGTTGAGAACCTTAATAAAGATAAGACTAGCAATAATCTAGCATTTTTTCGCTTTCTCCAAAGATTGGTAGAGATCCTTATTAAAAAAATATTGGGAGAGATTTCAGATGCCCAGTTTTTCACAAATCAGCTCATCTTACTGCAATTCTCAGAAGAACCATCAAAGAAGATTAGGATGGACAGGTTTCCACATTATTATTAGAAAACCAAAATTTTATTTGAAGCATATCCATCCATGTTTCCACATTATTGTTCTTCCAGGATGAACAGCTGTTCTCCATGTTTTTTTCCCCTCCTGCTGGTCATGTGCTGTACCATGCATAACTCTGCTAGTCCTCATTTAAAACTTTTGATCTACTCAACCTTGGATGTGTATCCTTATATCACTCTGCCAGAATTCATCCTTCCTGGTGACGAGAAGGACAGTCCATGCAGAGTCCCTTATTTCTGTCTTTGCATCCTTACATCAATCTCTGCAAGATTGGGAGAAATAATTCGGACGCCCAGTCTTTGAGAAGTCAGCTCATTCTCAACCCCCCAAAAAAACAGCTCACCAAACTCAGAAGAACCCTTCTAAGGTTAGTTGGCCGGTGTTAGGTCCATGTGAAGTGTGACTGCATCACCTGTCCTTTTTGGCAAAATTTAGTTAGATCCACCATCGTTTGGTAGGCTCACTACAGTTGCAGAGCTATGTTGTGTTTTCTTTCAGTGTACTTAACCGAACCTGTTCTTTATTATCCAGAAACTAACCTACGAAACTGTTGTGTGCTACTTTTGCATGGCCTTTGTAGATGAGCTTTTTTTATCCTCTACTTATCAATGAAAGCCAGGCGATCCGGATCTTTCGGGGAAAAAAATATCCAGAAACTAAAATCACGTCTACATGCATTTCTAATTATCCATCCGTGTGTCCACATTTCTGTTCTTCCAGGCCGAACGGCTCATCTGTTCTCCATGTCTTTTGGCCCTCGTATCATTCTCTGTTCCTTGAACTACACTGCTAATACATTCTTACAGAATTG